ATCACCGGTTGCCTTGGGGAGCCTAGCCCAGTGGCAGGGACAGCCCCAGCCCCTCTGCAGTGCTGGGACCACTGCACCCCTTTCCCAATACCAGTACAAGTAGCAACTGGTAGCTGGAGAAATCCAGCTGCGAAGCGGGGCTGGAAGGCAGCCCAGAGCCTGAGCTGGGGTGGTGAATAAAGCTTAGGGGATGCCAGGGCTTTTGGGCAGGCCTCCGGCATGAGGGTCAGCGAGTAAAGCTACAACATAGTCAGAAAGCTTCCCTGCATCCTTTTTTCTTTTTCCGGATGAAAATCATCCATTACAGGGCTCAGGGATTTTGTGTGAAGCCGTGACAATAAGTAGCTGAGCAAACTTCACAAGACTTTGGGTGTGGGGGCTCGGCAACAAATGCTGATGCACAAAAAAGCAAACCAGAGCCCGTGGCAAGCTCTAGCCTGGCCTTAGAGGAAGGAGATAATCTCATTTCTTTGCTCTTTGCCCTTTTAGCTATTCACAAAGCCTGATGCCGAGTTATCCCCAACAATGGGCCAAACAATCAAACTCCCATCTGGCCTGGTCAGGCAGACCAACACTTGCCTTTCAGTCACAGGCACACCAGTCCTGTGATTTTTTTGCCCATCTTGAATATATACTCTTTGCCCTCACCCGTGATAGGGAAGATATTTACACTTGGTAACAGAAACTGCAGTTGAGGCTCACCAGCCTGCTCTAATCTGATCACCTAAATCCCTGGCCAAAGCGAAACGCAGGCGCTGCGAGCACAGCGGCGCTGCAACCTTTGGATCTCCCTCTGCGCAACACAACGCGCAGCTTACCAGCTAATGACCTGCTTTTCCTGGGAGGGCACTCTGCTCCCCTTTCAGCCCTCCTGCATACTCACACCTCAGGCCCCAAACTGCAGCCAAACCCGCTGGAGAAATATCTTCCCTCCCTGACTTTGAAATCAGCTGCAGGTTGCTCTTCGCAGTAGCCGGAGACCTGCAGCATCACTGCTTGATGCTACCGACCCCTCTCCTGGCCTGGGAATAGGGATTATAACTGATCATGTAGTGGGAGCCAGGAAAAAAAAAAAAGAGAGAGAAAAAAAAAAAGAGAAGCTCTTTTGTTGTTAACACCATTCTGACCTCTAATCTACTCACGTCCTGGTCTTACATTTTTGTTAAGCATTCAGCTGCAGGGGAGGAACACAAGGAGAAAGATTGATGTTTGTGTGGGTATAGGTGTTTTTGTGTGCAAATTGCATTTTGAGATATATACGTACCCACACATATAAGAACACTGGCTGTATTAAATGTCAACAGAAAATCTCTCACAGACTTAAGTGAAGCCAGAATTTCCCCTCTAACATTTAAAATTAATCTCAGTACCCTGTTTTTAGCTGTCAGAAGTTCTCCTGACAAATTCAGAAGCACTGCCAAGGAGAGACTGACGTGCTACGCCAGCGGCATCCTGGCCCTCTTGCCCTTTTCTGCTGAAAGGGCATGGGCTCTGGTTTGGCCTGTGCAGGAAAATCCAAAATGGAACTGCCCCCTTCTTCAGTTAAGATGGCAGGGAATGCTGGCCCGATTGATAGGAGCCCCTTCAGTGATAAAATTTCCCTGTGTATGAGTCACAGGAAATTATAATCACTGCTTGTGAGATTGCAGAACACAATGAGATTTCTGAGCTACAGACAGACTTCAATTATTCTTGAAAGACAGACAGACCCCTCAAACTGACACGGTTGGAGAAAATAAATATCCTTTTGTCTGCACTGCTGGTGGTAATTTCCCATTAGACAGGAAAAGCCTTCTTTGATGAATGAATATTGTCTACACATTAGAAGAGGAGCTACTGTATATCTCCTAATAGCTCTTGCATGCTTGGGCTCAGCCTCATGTGAGGCCCTTAAACCCCTCGGGTACCATGTGGTGGCATTCATTAGTGTACTGCATTTTTTATTGCAGTATTTGAGGAAAGGATGGTACATACTAAAATAAAACTGAGCAACTTCTCACTCACCTTGAAGTTATGTGGCAAGGTCAAGTACATTTAGCAATCTGCCTTCTCAGTCTGCAGGTAGTCCTTTCCAGGCTAGAGGCTTCAGGAGAAACTCTCACACTGAGGATAGATTTTCCATTTACGATTATTCTTGTAATTTTAGCAGTTAATCACTTTTCTATTTTGCATTTACTTTGCTTTTCTACAGTGGTAATTAAAGCAAAACCAGAGGGTCACATAGAACTAAGTTGAACACCGTTTGCAAAGCCAAAGAATATCATGCTAGTGCCTTTGACAAATCTTGGACCCTTTCGAAGACCCGCCAAGTCTCACGTCGTTTCCTTCCCATAGAAATACTTGAACAGGCATTAATCGCACTAACTGTTCCTTTTGTGGCAGTGTTGCATTTCCACCAGTCATTTTTCCTGGGACTGGTATTGGATAAGCTTGGCCTAGAGTAGCCTGGGTCACCCCACGGAGTCCTTTCAGCTGCTGGTAGATACCCTTTTCTGGAACTTCTCCACCACACCACGGATCAGTTGAGAGTCAGGTGGGCTGGTGGGGGGAGCGCTTGGCCAATTGTTTTTATCTGGATAGGATTTATTTAGCTTTACATTAAAAAAATTTTTGGAGGGAACAGGAGATTTTTAATTTGATAATTCAACTTTAACAGTCACCACGCAGCTATCTGTGGTGTATACGCAGCGCTTAAGAAAAGGTTTGTATTAATTTATTGCAAAAATGCTAACAACCTTGTTTAAATTTTTGCTAATGTTTTTATTTGAGAGATTAAAAAACCCAAACAACAAAACTCCCAACATTAAGAAAAAGAAGCAGAAGAGCTACCAATGAGAAATGGTCTGGATTTGCCGCTCGACAGCGGCACACAAGCCAGCTGCAGGCAGAGATGCGGCAGAGACCAACATGGTACTCATAGACCGAATGCTATACAAGAAACAACAAACCCAAGAATCAGAAGTAAAGGCCATAAAACCCCAACAACACCCCATCTGAGTCTTACTTCCAACGAGAGATATAGGCAAAACTAATGCTTTAGGCTCATCCCGCATTACAGATGGAAACTACGCTTTAGTTTGTGGCATAGCAAAGGCTGCCAGGGAACTTTGCCACCGAGCGCTGGGCTGAGTACGTGACATTTTGGCTTCGCCAGCCCGCTGAGTTACTATGGAGTCCCCAGTTCAGTGGATGACGTTTTAAGGCAGGGGGGGTAGCTGTGGGAAAAAGAGGACCACAACTTGCTTTCTAAGTACTAAGAGGAAGCTAAAAGTCCAACAAGAATTATGGCCTCTTCAGTACTCCGCAGCTACAAGTACAGCAACATTGAATATATCATGTACATAACATTACTTATAGACTCTACATGTAAAATGTTAACCAATTTATCATGGAAATCTGGTAACAAGCAACATTGCCATATAAATTCACACTTCAAGAAAGGCTAAGTGTGGAACCGGAACCGTCCTTTGCAAGAGGATTTTCAGCCAGTATTTTGTATAGAAAATATTAAACCAACGGTGAGAGTTTGTTCTCTGAATCTCAATTCATTATTGGGTTAGTTTTCAGGAACGGAAAAAGGTTCTCTTTAGAAAATGCATGAATATTCAGAATATGAATTCACAATCTCAGTATTAAATAATTAAAAAAAAAAGTTTCAACTGTCAGAAAGTTGTCTTACTTGATCGCAATATTTTAAAGCAGTAACAGCAATACAAGTCAGAAAATCTTTTCCTGCCACACTTGTAAATGTAAAGGTATTCACGTTAAATGCAACAGAACTATTAAAGAATAAACTGCTCGTAGAACAGAGAAAGGAGAAACAACCTGTGCATTCAACCATCTTCCTTGCAGTTGAACTCCAGCTGTTTGGAAACATATGACTTCATCATTTGGAAAATGATGTCCCATAGGTAACTGGTCTGCATACTCCTATGAAATACGGTGCCCCAAATGGCATGACACCCCTTCTTGAAAAGTCTTGATCTCATCTCCACCATTATCTCCACAGGTTAAACAAAAGAACACTGTCCAAATGTAAAATGCTCTCTTTTTAATTACTAAATTAAGAAAGTTAAACAGTTTTAAAATGTAAACTTGCAAATAAACCATAACAAAATGTAATTAAGACTTTAAAATTTGCAACTCAGTATTAAAAACTCAATAGAAATAGAAAGGAATTTTTTTTTGGTTAAACGTAAGTAATTCAAGGCTGGTACAGACAACTGAAAAGGTAATACTTTGTTCTGTGCATCCCCCATGAAATGTAAAGAAGTGCATAGTAATTCCACTGGAGAACTTGCAGACACAGAGAAAGTAATTTCATTAGCGGTACAGGACATTTAACACACTTATTTTACAATGGAAAAATGTTACACACAAAACAGAAAAGTCCTAGTTTGCATGACCAACAGTTTAGCGGGTGGACGTGGCTAAAATGCTATGATTTTAAGACCATCTGAATGTGGTTACACTGTTTAATAAATCCGTCCGAAACATTTCCGTATACGTGTTTTGATACAAGAAGTCCTTGCAGTTTCAATTTTCCAGTTCAAACGGTGATGGTGTAGTTTTCTTGCTTTAAATATGCTCGTTTTAATTTCAAGAACAAATCATCACACACTTGTCAAACATTGGAAACATTACTGTAAATACAGCACATGATTCCTGAAAGAGCAAAGTTACAACCATCTACAGGTACATAATCATAAACAAAAAGTGCAATCCAATTTAAAAAAATCATGCTTGGCAAAAGCCAAAAATTAGATCACTGGCTTTCAGAATCCCACCAGTGTTTTCATGTCTGCAGTAAAATTATCGCTTTCTGGGTACTGCTGCAGCAGGTTTCATTCAATTCCAAATGAGTTTCCTCTGCAATAGCACCCATATACTGTATGTACAGGTATGTATATATATTATATATATTTTATATATAAAAAAGCAAAAAACCAAACACCTGTCCTGATTTTTTTTTTATTTTATTTGTTAAAACATGAAAAAAAATGTTTTAGACAAAGAGGCCACTTCTGGAAAATAATACTTTTAGTTGAATCAGGAGAAGACTAGTTAAAATCACATAGGTTTTGCGTTTTAAAAAAAGGAAAGCACTAGGATCAGTTATTGGCACTGAGTTACTATTTACAATGAACAGAGGTTTTGCAGTTTACATAACATCAATACAATGCAGTTTTGGAGTCTTTGATTAAGAAAAACCAAATGTTTTTCTCCTTTTCATCCAGGACATTCAGAGTATTAGGACAAGTGGTCATAGGCAAGGGCTGCAGAAGTTCCCAGCTTCAGCCCCTCCTGTGCACGGCGGTGCTGGAAGATGCTGCACTCTGGAGAAACCGATCACGGAGTTGGAAGCTGAAGGGCAGGTGGGGCAGGGCTGAGAAACACCTGGTAATTCATGACAGTGTCTGGAGACCAGGGATTTACAGGTTGTCACCGGGCTGGTACTGGGGTTCTGTTGCAGTGAAGTAGTCTTCAAGGAAACCCTGCAAATATTCAAAAGTTGGACGCTCCTCTGGGTCTTTTTTCCAGCAGTGGATCATAAGCTCGTGCAAGGAGATGGGACAGTCCTGAGGACATGGCATCCGATAACCACGTTCTACTTGCTCCAAGACTTCACGGTTATTCATGCCTGTAAAGGGCAGACAAATCCACACTGATAAATTACAGGAAAATTAACCTGAGTATAACTATAACTACAATACATTTGGTTTTGCCAGTCATACACTTTTTTTTTTTTTTTCATCAGACAAGTGAAACAAAACCACCCCTATGTCCTGTTTCAGCTCTTCCTCTACTGCAAGGTAACCTGGATTACTTTCTTTCTCAGTAGAGGATTTTAGGATCCAGTCATGAGTAAAACGCTGCTCCCATGGTTACCCTCTTGGCTTACTCACAATGGGCAGGATTTGGCACGTTCCCTCCCCAACAAAGGTAGCCGTGAAATATATTATGTGAAGCGGTTAAAGAAAATAACAAATACTATTCCTAATTCTAGAAATTAAGAAGAATTTTTAAAATCCTCACACTAAGCATGGGCCTTTCTTGAAGTGCTCTGTGACGTAATGCTGCAGACACTTCAAGACAAACTCTGCTACTTTGGGCTACCAGGGATGTCCAGCAGCATTACCTTCAACGCTGCTTCAGAAGCTTACTACTGCTGATGATCTGCACTCCCTTGATCTGTGCTGGTTAGTAGTGTTTCTACCATATTCCACTGCTGCATCCCAACCCAGAAGAGAACAAAGTTGCTCAGAAGACAAGTCATTCACCAAGAAAAACAGTTCCACTGCAGACCCATAGCTCTCTCTCACAAAAGGTAAAAAGTTACATTACCATCATGCTTGTCTCTAGGAGGCAAGCCAGGCCCTTTGCTACCTTGTCTTCTCTATGCAACCCCTTCAACCCTCTGCTGATGTGTTTTTCACTGTACATGAATTGCAGTCAACCACAACGTTAGTTTAAATAGCTCTTCCAGTAATCCTTTCAGCTTCTTAACAGTACCAGGAGCAAGACTAGCACCGCAGGCATGCAGAAGTATTTCAGTGAAAGCATGCACATTGCCTGCAAGCTTTGTGGCTTGCCAGTTGGCAAGCCCTGCCCCAGTCCTCTGCTGAAAAATATCTGCAGACTTCACTCCCCTGACTTAGTGGATCCTGCCAAGCAGCTCTGCAGGAGAACTAGGAGGGACAGTTAAGTTCCTCCATGACCGAATCTAGAAACCAGCACTTTGATGTTGCTCTTTCCATTAGCTTATCCTCCCTCTGACTTCCATGACACCATCCTTCCCTGGGTCTCCTCCACTCTGTTCTTTCAGCGTGTCCTCCTGAAGAATTTTCTTGGCCCACCTTCAGGACCCAGGGGATCGTCTCTTTTCCCTCTGCCTTGTATTTTTTGTAAACTTATTTGTGAGAAATAACTCAACCACTTTCTTCAATACAGATTCATTGGTCTAATCTACACCTTGACTAGTGGCAATAATATCCTCACACTGCATGGCATTCAGGCCGGTAACTCAGCTATATCCTTGGATTTGGTCTTTACTCTGTGTCCTCACGTCCTGGCTGTGTTTAATTCTTAAAGATGTTTTAAAAGAAGCATCTGCAAAATACAGCCTTTCCTGACCATCCACATCTAGATTCTCATCTCATGTTAGGATTACAAAACACCTTTTCCTTTTATCTTGACAGGGTAATTTCCTCCTGCTGACGTTCATTTGAAATGTTTCTGCAAAGATCATTTTCCTTGCCTGTTGTTGTAACCACCCCTTGCATGGTCTTGCCGCTTGCTCCTTTTCCCCTGTGATGTGAAATACAAGCTGCTTGTCTTCACTTTCAAAGCCTCTCACAAGCTGCCCCACTAGCATTTAGGCTCTCATTTGGCCACGTTGTGGTGAATCCACAGTTCTGGTTACCCTACTGCAGCACCTCTGATTTTCAAACAAGCACTGATGCGCTGTTTCTTATGCTGCCTGTTGCGCATGGAGGAACCTCCCCAGAAAACTACCTCATCCTCCTACAAACCTCTCCTTACCGTTCCCTTTAGCAGTGATAATTGCAAAAAGCAAGGTTAGATTACTGATTTACAATATTTCCTAGCCTGCAGACCAACACTTTAGCACTGGTTTCTTGTGTTTGATTTATCACCTGCATCCACCCACTGTCAGATGTTTATGAGTAGGAGCAAACACTTTGTATGGCACCTAAAGTGGTCTGTGGTTAAGACTCCACGGAAAGATGAAAATAGAGTAATAACGGTCCTCTGCAGATATCAGGCTCTGCACAGAGGTAAGGTTCTCCTGTATTATTGACTCCAAACTGATGTTGTTAGGTCACACAGGCTCACAACAAACCAGAAAAGCTTCCCACACACTGAACAAATGTTTGGGTGTGCCTCATTATCCAACAAGAACATTTTCAAACATATTCTACTTTTTTATTAAATTACAAAACAACACTAGTGGTCTGTTAGTCATCACCAGCCCAAAGGCAGCATCAACCCAAACCTTCTGGCCTTGCTGTTTTCAAGATGCTACAAGAAAAAAAATGGCCATTGTGCTCACGTTGGGTTCTCAATATTTTTTTTTATTATTATTTCTGTTTTGAACAAAAATCTGCACCCTTTTTTCATACCCTTGACTTTGAATCAGCTGAATTACTTCATGTTTTGGTGTAAAAACTTCTGCTGTGCTTTGCTTCCTTTACATATTAAAGGCTACAAAAATAAATGCTACCAGTAACTCATCTATCCTGTACACGTAAAACACAAACTGCATTCTTTGATTTTATTTTGGCAAAACCCCTCTAAGTACAACATGGGTGGAAGCAACAACAGCAGCAAAGCTCCTTCCCAACTGATTTGTTATTCTAAGATATCAAAATGTTTGGTATTTTTATCCAGTGCACTACTCAGTGCTGCAAAACACACTCTGAAACATGATAACTAACTGTATGCTGGAAGAAAAACCCTGAGGAGAGAGAGGGGGGAGGAAAAACATAAACAGCTCTTCACTTCCCTTTAAAAAAAAAAAGGATAGAAAAAAAAGAAACATAAAAGAGACATTGCTGTCTGAAAATATAGTCATTTTTTGTCTCTGGAAAGTCAGTCAAGCCAGGTTTTCTCATCACGGTATAATCCAGGAAAATGCCCTTCTTTTCCTTTCTCCTTTCCCCTCCCTCCCAGTAAAACCCAGATATGAAACTAAACCAAGTAATCCTCATGTTCCTTACTGGAATTCATATGGCCAGTAAGGGCTGCAGCACCTAGGATTTGCCAAAGAAATTCTGTGGGTTTTGACGTGTGCTGCTAATTTAAAAAAGGAGTTTCAAATACATATTTTTTTTAAATTGATTTGATTTTGGGTTGGGTAAGTCAGACTTACAAAAATAGCAGTGTTTCAGGCATACTTTTTCCCCCTTAAAAGGTCTATTTATGTTTACAAACCTATTATCTAGATTCACTTATCTTATTCTACATGTTTTAGTGTTTCTCTTTTGATAGCAGAAGCCTGTTGTATCGGCACTTCTAACACCACAGAGAGAATATTTGAGCAGTCTGTACCACTCCTCTCTCCTAATGAATACCCGAGAGTTTCAACTCTTTTAGTAAATAATAAATGAAATTCTGCTTGCAGTATGCTTCTAGACCCCTTAAAAGTTTATCCTAAAATCCTGAAATCTGTGGAATAGACTACTCAGCAATATTCTTCTGTAGACTACAGCTATTTCACATGCTTGAAAATCAGTTTGTGCTCACGATATTTCTAGAACTACCATTTGGACCAAGAATGAAACACCCCATTTCCAAAAGATCGCTTTTCCATTAGCTTTTTATTCCCTGTGAAGAGCAAAAATGAAATAAGCTCCCACCATCCAGCTTTATTAGTGAAACTTCCAATAGTCTTAGGATGCCACAGGATATGGCCACTTTAATGCTCAATACAATAAAAATGTACTGCCCATATGGCCTGGGGACAGAAACGCAATGCTGCTTGACTTTTCCTAGAAAAGCTTCAGTAGTAAGAGTTACTGTGACATAAAAGGGGATGCAATGTTTCCAGTTGTTGCTAAAGAAAACACTGAAAAGTGCTTTGGAGTGCTCTGAGGAGCTTGATTAGATGGAGCACAGCAGATGTGCAAATAGCACAGATCTGGGCAGCGCAGATCTGCTCTTCCAGAAGACAGGAAACATTATTGTAACTAGGCAGCATCCCAGTGTCCAGAGCTAATAAGCGATACAGATTACTTTGGGCAATGTGAAGTCCAGTGAGGACAGTGATGGTTTTAAGCCACTTTATTCTTGCTTTCCTCTGTTGGACTGAGAATTATGGTCCTTCAAGACCTACTGCACCTTTTCAGGCCAAAGATCAAATACAGACACAAATGCTTAAAGTAGGACTCTTAACAGCTCAGCTGCTGTCCATCCCCAGAAATGCTGTATTTCAGATTCTCCAAGAACCCAGAGCTGTGCCTCTGCTTATATTCAAAGGCTCCTCAGATGTGGACATATTTGCCCTTTTTTAGTACAGTTGAGAAGGTACAACTGTGTCATCCTCCAGAGGAGCTGGATCACATTGGCACTCAGAGCATGCTTTCAAAAGAGAGCAGTACAATGCACACAGGTTAATTTTGGGGTTTTGTTAGGTTTGATCTAGTTAGAAATTCTTCTAACTTCCATCGCCAGCCCCAAAGAAAAGCCAGAGGTGTGGGCACAGGGATGGCGTATAGGACTTAGGCAGGGAGATTATTCCATATGGAGACACAATAGTGCACTGAAGGGAACAGGAAAGCTGCTCCTAAAAGAAGACAACCTTCGAAGCACAATGCTCTTCTTACTGAGCATAGTATGAAGCTAGTTACTTCTGTGCAAAAGAAGTAACAAGTTTTAAAAATTTGGAAGTCATGCCACTTCATTTCGGAATTAAGGCCTGAAAACCCCTAACAATTCCTAATCCTCAAAACACCCACAATCTCGGCTCTCAATATCTGTTGGGGGCGGGGGTGGGGTGTTGTTAATTTTGGTTTTGTTCTTTAAAATAAGTTATAATTTGCTTGGTATAAGAGGGGCAACTTTGAGCTACAGCATTTGTAAATGCAGCCTTCCTGCTTACAAAGAAATCCACCTGAGCTTATCTATGCTGTGTGCTGAGTATGCATCTCTCTTAACTGCTTACCTACCATCCATGATTATGGTACACACACATATGATGGATCACTGATGTGTACCTGGCCTCAGGCTTGGGTCACATGCCTACCATGCGCCCTCTGGCACTTGTGGCCCAGCTTCCCCCAGGCATGAGGAGGCTGAACACAGCTCTCAGGACTGCAGGGCTTCTTGGAGCCTAAACTCAAAGACCTGCCTTGCCAGAGGCAGCAATGGGGATAGCATCATGGTGGCTGTCACACTTGACATAAAATGTAAATGCTCTTGATGTGACAAGTGCAGCAGAAAGCAGAAATGGCAAGTTCAGAGGTGCCTGTTTAGTGCAGCTGAGATTTTTGCCTATCCAAAAGGCAATATATTAAAAAACTCCAAATTCTCTGACTACTGCTAGAGAAATGCAGCCTCCTACTCTTAAATTCCATTAAAAAACCCCAAACTAAGATCCAAGGGGAATTCGTGAAAGGGGAAAGAAACAGACACTGAAAAAGGTTGACTAAGCAAACTGTTTTTAAACTTGGCTCCTCTTCTGCCTATATCTAGTTTTTATTTCCCCACTGTAGTAGTGGAAATAGAACCTCAATGCCCAGAAAGACTATGAACGTTGCTTATTCCAATATGCTGCTTTGTGAAAAGACTGGGAAAGCATTAGGGAAGGCTAGGAAAAGCACTAATAAATTAGTTATCACAGAGGTCCATTATGTCCATTGACAGAGAAACAGGCCTGGTTGAAGGATGAAGATGAGGAGACCTGTCAAAAAGTCAGTCTTGCTTGTGGGAGCTATGGGGTCTGTGGCAAGGCTTGATTATGAACTCTAGTCTGATCTTCATCTCTGCCAGCAAAATCTTTACAGCTCACACATCCCACCACTGCTCCAGCCTGTCTTCTAAAATGGGGCATCAGGACAGGAACTGGTTAAAATCTGGAGGACAATGAATGCCAAGTCCTACTCCACACAGTCTGTTCCCCTCGTATATACTGTCTGCCTTCTCCTTCTCTCCTCGTTTGTGCTTCTCCCTTCATCTACACAAGCTTAAAACAATGCCTGGTTCTCCAAGGCATGAGGTGCAGTTCTCTGCAGGCATGGTTACCACCACAGGACTGGGGTGTGTGCTATAAATAACCTCTCCATGCACTTAGATCTTGTCAAACAAGACAGCAACCCCTTTGTCTGAGGGCCTCTCCCTGCTCCCCCCGGCCTGCTACAAGCTGTAAGCAGGAAGATCAGGACAACATGCCCACAACTATTTAAGAAACTGGGTATTACAGCAGAGTGACAGCTCCATGACCCTCTTTGTTTCAAGGCTGACCCTTTCCATAGCTTGCAAATCCAAATGCCTTGTGTGTGAGAGTTGTTGGCAGTGCCTACAAACTGCATTCTCTCACCTATAGGTTGTCTACTTGGGTGAGGATGGCTGAGTCTTGCCTCTCAGGGTGGTTGAACTCCTATCTTTTCCTCCTCTCACAAGCCATGCCGCTATGGCAGGAAAAGCCCTGTAGGTGCATCTGAATCCTACTCCCTGCTCCAGACAGGGACCTGAATTCACAGAGCTTTATCCTTCCAAGAGGTCCTTCCTCTCTGCAGCATGAAGCAGAAGATGGATGATCCTTTCTATGTCAGGGGAAAATAGTCTCTTTTTGAGGAGCTCGGGAGGTCTTGGGAAGTCTGAGCCCTCTTTTCAAACCACATGCAAAGACAGACCCTTCTGAGAAGGCCCCAGTTCCCTTCCACCATTACCTCAGCCCATAAAAGCTTTCCCAGTTAGGGTCTGGGGAATGAGATCAAACTGAAATCTCTAATGATTTTGGAAATTCAGATTTGAAATAGAGGCTGCCCTTAGGTAAAACTGACAGAGAGAGGTGTGGTGGTGACCAGAAGAATGGTTAAGGCCTCCTGGCTGAGCAGGGTGGGAGTCCCGGTGGGGAGGAAGGGCCCTGGTGTAGAGCTTGGGCAGCGCGTAACCGAGGAAGTACGTGACCATCCAGAAAATTGCTGTCACTGTGATATGTAACACACAAAAAGTTGCTTCCAGCTACTTGATGTCTTCGTAGCACGGGTGAGGGAGTGAGCCGGAAGGACTTTCAGTATGTGAGGGCTTTATGCAGTGAGGGATGAAGGGGGAAGACAGCGCTGAAAGAGGAGAGACGCTGCTAGTTGTCTTTGATGTGCTTAAACTGCCACATAATAAAACTGTCCACATGTTCAGGACACAGACCATGCCTGAGATTTCTGTCATGGGTCCTACAAGAAGTTATATATAGCAAGCACTTAAATGCACATCCAGTGGCCTCTTTCTCCTCCAGGGAGGGAAAGGAACACTTGAGAAATGCAGACATCCTCAGCTGCCAAGGCCAACACTGTGTTCGGTTACAAACTTGTGAGTTTACACAGGGCTTAGATGGTTTTTCCTGTGTGTCTGAGTGTGTCTGTGCTCATGCATGTGATAAGAGAGAAGGCTAGTCACTAAGCATCTCCACCCCACCCATGTGGACCTCAGGAAAAAAAGTTCACCTTAACTCTGTCCTGGCTGGCGAAAGCCCCCATGCACCCGCTCTGCTGGTGGTGACATGGAATTTCCTCTTCCTGCAGCCTGGTGAGGAGTGTTGCCCACCCTCTGGGAGCAACACCGTATCAGCTAAGTCTTACACATCTTCTTTCTGTCTTTGACCTTTGCATGCCACAACGTTCCTGCATTTAACCCTTAATAAACCCGTGGAAATCATGGGTCTCCGACGCCACTGCCAGTAATCCTCATGGCAAGACAACCTTTGTGCCAGTGACCAACACAGCCACCCCGTGTGGTGACAACACCCACTTTTCTTTAACTGCATAGGGAAGTGCTGGGCAGAGGGACTCATCCACCCCACAGAAACACGTCATCTCACTTTCTGCTACCTCATTCTGTTGTCACTGTCACAGCTTTACTAAGCTGCTCCCTGTTAATCACACCAAAATTCACTGCTGATCACGAGAAGCCTTCTGGTCCTCATATTCTCTTCCCAAAAATCAGCTACTGGCTGCTAGGCACTAGCAAAGTTGAAATTCCTGGCAAAACCCTGGGAGTTTAGTTTTGCTGAGTTCAGTCTTCTGAAGCAGTGTGGGATACCACAGAATAAACTGAACTCCACCTTGATGCTTCTCCTGCACAATTTGATGTATGGATCTGACTGCTTGATTACAGCAGATTGGAAAATTGAAACTGCTTTAGGGTACTTTCCATTAAATTAGCTGCAGTGCACACAGCCATACTGGTGAGTATTTAGAGACATTAAAAAAATAAAATAAAAGAATACAGATGCAGCTAGATGGCCTGGTGTCAGTATCTGTGCTGATAAGAAAATAAGGGGATTAAACTCTTTTCCATGTAATGCACTGCTTTTTCCTCACCCCTTTCCTCTTCACCTGAATGCCTACAACCTTCAAGGGGGGCAGTAGAATGAAAAGCTGTTTCTGCAAAGGCAGATCTAATCACCCCTCCTACAAATCTTAATCCATTGGATACTTGGCAGGGTTTCAACGAAGAGCCATGGGGCCTCTGTTTTCCCCATACAGAGAATCTGGCCCCGCTGTGACCCTGTCATGAGCTCCGGCCTGCACATTACAGAATTATTTTCTTTCCTTTCCATCCACCTCTGAAGCACGGTTTGAAATTTAGGAGGTTATAAAAAAGAGATTTGGTAATACCAGACATTCAAACAGTCATCAAACCTCACAGAGAACCAGACCGACAAAATAAGCGGCGTAATGCCACTCTGGGAGTTAAGTTGTTGGTATCTTAAAGTGAATGCAATACTGCGGAGAGCTATTTGCTCCACGGTATAGTAACTTTACATTGCTTTTGTTGTTTGGCTAGAAAGTATATTAATTGAATTGAGAACAATTAAAAACATTAGAAATGAGTATGTTGGATTTTCTGTCCCCTTGTCACTTTTGTCACGCCTGTCACATAGCAGCTTTCAGTCAAGACCATTTTCAAGCATATGGTGAACTTATGCATGATAACCATCCTCCTTTGAGCCCAGTGAAAACAAATACACATTCCAACTGAAGCATATGGCTCGTTCCCACTCCTTTCCCCAGATGAAGCAGGGCTGTTTTCTTACCTGGGTATGGCACTCTCCCTTTTGTTACCAGCTCTGTCAGTAGGATGCCAAAAGACCACACATCTGACTTTATTGTGAACCTTCCATACAATGCTGCTTCTGGCGCCGTCCATTTAATGGGAAACTTTGCACCTAATGAAAGAATAAATGAGACAATCAGAATAGAGACAGAATCAAAGTATTGGTTCACAGGTGACTGTCGTATTCTGCAACACGTGCAGGAGGACAGAGCTGTAGGCAAGTGTTAACAGCTCCATGGACTACGGTCAGAGAGGACAGGTGGGTGGAACATGTATGAGGAACAACTGAGGGAACTGGGGTTGTTTAGCCTGGAGAAGAGGAGGCTGAGGAGAGACCTTATCGCTCTCTACAACTACCTGAAAGGAGGTTGGAGAGAGGTGGGGGCTGACCTCTTCTCCCTGGTGACAAGTGATAGGATGAAAGGAAATGGGTTCAAGTTATGTCAGACGAGGTTTAGATTGGATATTAGGAAAAATTTTTCACTGAAAGGGTTATTAAATATTGGAATAAGCTGCCCAGAGAGGTGGTGGATTCACCATCCCTGGAGGTGTTTAAAAAAGGGTGGATGTGGTACTTGGGGACATGGTTTAGAAGTGGTTTTGTCAGGGTAGGTTAACGGTTGGACTTGATGATCTTAAAGGTCCCTTCCAATCTCAGCGATTCTATGAGTCTATGATTCTATGTAGGGCAGAAGGAAAGACTTAACAGGGAGGGGGTGGGTTTGTCTTACATCCCAAGAGAAGGCTAAGACATTTTAATTCAGGTTTGAAGTTTTATAAAAGAAAAAAAAAACATTTAAAAACCAATAAGCCCAATATAATAGAAATTCTTTCCGCAAAATGTTTTAAATTAACATTTCCCTGTGATATTTGCAAGTCAAACACAGTTAGCACGTATGAATGGAAGTGAGATTTATTAGAAATGTACCTCCCAGTTTCCCTGCTCAAGCTGAGCAAAATGCAAAACAAACAAACATGGTAAAAACGTAAATTGAAAACAAACCTAATATTTCATTAGAAACATACAAGGACTTAAAAATAATACTGCCATTCGAGTTGCTTGGAGTGCAATGATGTCAAGGCACAACTTTGGCCTGTGATTTATAACTTGACAGTGTACTTTAAGCTCCTGGCACTGAAAAGCCTGTAGTGCCTTAAATACGTGCAGTTCTAATGTGCTCATCCATCATCAGAGCTTGCAGGAGCCAGTTGTGGTAAGGATGGTAAGATAACAAGCCTTTAAACGCTGATTTATTTGCTTTTCCAATCATTTACTGTTTTCTTAGGGAAAATATTTTCAGTATGACTTTAAAGAAAAGTCTTGTGGTAATAATTAACTCGTAGTTTGTACAAAAAAATATGCAGACATTTCCCTGGTGCCTTGTATTAACATACAGGCAAAAGAGTTGCATTGCTTATTGCTGATCCCTAGTGACAAACACTCTTGAATTTGGAAACAGACTGACTTTGACTTCTCACCATCCTCTCATAAAAGTTCCCTTAGCTTTCAGGAGGAGCGTGGAAAGTGTAACAACGTGGACAAATCACTCTCAGGGATTTAAGTTATGGCTCTGTTTACAGTTCCCTGCCCGTGCTGTTCTGCCATTACATCCAGTGCTTGATGCCCCTTATCTTCTGCTATACGCCGCAATCTGACTTGACTCAAGAGTACAAAATAAACATGGTAGTTCTCATCTCCTTACTTAGTAAAACATCAGGTGTGCTAAAACTTTTCCTGCTCTATATTATATGTAAGTGATACTAAAAGAGACTATTACTCAGAAATAAATACGTTTTTCTAGGGAAAACTGCAGTTGCTCAAGTAAGTCATGCTAAATTAAAAGATGCAAAACAAAGTTTCAAATCCCCAGTGCCTGAAGACAGGAACTTAAGTCTAGTTAAGCATAACACATCAATGGTTAGATTTGCAAAGGTGCTGGAGGATTTTTGGATGTCTCTTCCCTTTTAAAAAAGCCTGCCTCTTCTGTATTTTTATTAGTTGATATGCAGGCAGGAGCTAAACTTTGGGTGTTTAGCTTTGGTCTGAGTCTCCCTAACCTACACTTCCTCATGGGACCAATCTTAGTTTACAAGACCCAAAATATACTTCATCTTCTCTTAAAATTTGCCTTGGCTGCGATGTCCAAGATCTCCGCAGCAGAAGCCTGCCATCACTTGAGCCTCTGGAAGCTGGCCCTGCTTCAGCAGCACCAGCAGCCATGTGGGGCTGGCCACCAGCAGATCCTGGGGTTATACACCCCTTGCCAGTCCTCAGAAAAACTGCAAACTGCATATACCTGGTGGTCGGGTTCCCTAGGCCTGCAGTGCGTGGCTTTAGATGGGCCTATGCGGGCATGCCATGAATACGAGGGCTAATGTCCCTCTGCTCTCTCATCCGTGCAGCTGAGATAGTACACAAACACGGTGCCAGCCGAACGAATAGCTCCAGGCTGGCCAGTAGCCTGAGGGCCTGGACGTTGGCTGATGGTATGTGAGATAGCCAAGCATGAGGGTTTGCTCATTCGCTTGTTGCACATGTTTTGTTCAACAATTTTTATTTTTTTTTTTAATCAGCTGTGTTTTTCAGAGAAGCTGAGCCAAACCTGGTCTAATTCCCTTATGCTTCATACTCAGATCCAAAGGTAGCAACCACCCACAACTCATCTTTGGAGGAAAGAAATGTCTTCAGGTTCCTTTGTGGCCAGCTCCCCCCGGTATTTTTACCTTCCTTACCTACTGCCAGCGTGGCATTGGGAGCTGACTATGTGGAGTGTCCAGGGACCATGGGAAGATGAGAAGCAAGGTAGGTAGGTGAGAAGGGGGGACAATTCCAACACATCCCTGTTCCTGAGAGCTAGAGCAGTACAAACACCATTGGACTGTGGGGAACACTGCTGGAGAAGACAAATGGTCTGTGCTGTGGATTTTCTGATGACAGGATAGCTACCCATTACATTTCTATGTTGCCCCTGCTGCGTGCGATTCTCTGGCTGAAACAACTAATACAAAAATCACGTTCTGCATTTTGTGCAGTATTTGCTGAACTTTGGTTTGAAGTGATAGATGGGGAGAAGGGAAAGGCAATTTTGGCAGAGAGGTCACTAGCAGAGACCTGCCTCATGGTTTTCTGGCCCTGCACCCTGTGCTGGAGGCTAGGTGGTCCAAGAGAGCCTGCAACTCACTATGGCAGAGATGTCAGTAAGGGGAGAGCAGAGACCAGTGAGGATGTACCAGCCTGGCCGCCTGCACAGCTGCAGGTACAATGCATGTACAGCCATAACATAAAGAGATCACACACAGCTTGCGTGTGTGTGTGTGTCTGTCTGTCTAACAGGGCCCCCCAAGGTGCTGCCTCCCATCTGCTGTTTGGCACTGGAGACACAGGCAGTGCACTTCTGTGAAAACACAAAAATCCCCAAATGTGTTCAGCGTTGCTCTGAAGCCTCCCAATTGCTACATCTATAGGAGGCACTGACACAGGCCGTATGCTGCGCACGGCTCCTGACCAACATGCAGCCTCTGTACTCACTCTCAACCCAACACACCAACTAAAAACCCACCCCCTCCCTCCATCCAGGTCTCGGCAGCTTATTAAACAAGCTGAGTTTGTGCTGCAAACAAATTACAGCATCAGAGCATCAGATAAAATACATATTACTGACAAGCATGTTAATAAATCTGATAAGCCAAATTACCCCAGCTGACAAGGCAGCCTATCTCCTACTTCGAAGGCAGATTTTGCATCAGTGTGTGTGGGGGGGGATTTGTCTCTTTTTTTTTTTCTGGAACCTATTTTGTTACAAACTAGCAGGTCAGTAGCTCCACGCACACAAACCAACCGCGCACTGCGTTCATTAGGTCAGGACAGCCTGTCTTTGCCCTAAAGCGACGTACTAATTTGCAGCTTTTATCTCTGTCCTCTTTTTTGAAACATTTCAGCTTGGGGAAAGCCTTTTTTGGGTTTCTGCACTGTTGCAAGCGCCGAGCCAAAGCTGCTCGTACAATTTACTGTTAGGGCAGCCGGCCCTGCCTCCTACCTCTGAGGATTTTTGTGAGGCTCAACCCTGTTCTTGGGACCTCTGCCCAGTTCTGCCCAGGCATTCACACAGGTTATCTCCCAGGAGGAATTCCTTGGGAAAAATCAATCCATGGCCCTGCTTTAATTCTTCGTCGGCTATAAGCAGGTTGCGTGATGAGAAGGAGCGGAGGGGGCTGGGATAATTGAGTGACCTTGACGTACAACGCTCAGCATGGTTTCTTCTGAGGCGAGCGAAAATCCCTCAGAGCTTTGTTTTTTCAGATCTAAATCTCGATGAAGCAGAAACCTCTGAAATTCATGCCCCAGAGCCACGGCCAGCTTGATAAGGATCCTGTTTCCGGAAATGCTACAAAGCTGCTACCTTTCGTACCTTAAAACCAAACCCAACGCAGCACCCCAAGCTCTAAGACCCCAAACCCATGGGAACTCTTGGGTTAGCAACCAGAGAATGTAGTGCAGCGGCGAATTGCTCCTGGGGCTGGAAAGGGAAAGCCACAAAAGGTAAAAACGAAGTGCTGAAGCAAGCATGTAACAGGAAACGAGTCAGCCCTGGTAGGCGATGATGAGTACCGTGTGGGAGGGACTGCGCAATTACATTTTTTTGTGCTGTGAGAACGAACATGAAATTACAAGCCTGGCAAAACATCAGCAATCAGAAGCAGGCTCCGCAGGCTGACCCCTCCCCGGGAAGCGGGGGACAAGTGGTGGAACTGCGGGTCTAAACACCCCTCTTGCCCTCTGCCTACACGCCCCCCCCTCTTCCCCTTGCCCTTCCTCTTGACCTGGCCACACTCCTTCTCACAGAGCAGATGCCATCTCTGTAGCAGCGTTATGAGAGATCCCCCTTTGGGACCCCTGGGGGCTGGCTGTTGAGAAGCGAGAGTCCTTCCTCCTATCTGCTTCCCGGCTTGCCTGGGGAATGGCAGGCAAAGAGCAGGAACAAAGCCTTGGACGCTACAGCCCGCAGTAGAGTCAGTGGCGAACAAGAGAGATCTGATTAGCTGGTGAGCTGGGAGCCAAGTCTCCACAAAAGGACTGGGGAGAGCCTGGAAGGGGAGAAAAATCCCCACTCATTTCTAGGAAATCAAAATAAGAAGCATCACTTGTTTTTAAGCAGGGCAGGAAGGAGATATTTCTAAGTGTTAAGGAGGCAAAAATGATCTGAGAGTTTACAAACACGTACTAGAGCTCCCAAAATAGCTCTGACTTGTCTGGAAGGCATCAGAAAGATCCTTATTGTTTCATGTGTGCTTGGAGCAGCATTGCTGCAAGTGCTGCCAGTGTATGCAGTAGAAACAAGGCCTGGAAAATAACTCTGCTCTTTTTTTATTAAGGCAATTTTAAATTTGTATCAGCTGCTACTGCTTAGAATAGTAACGACTCTTCCCCAGCAACTCTGTGGAGCACTGAGCACTCTCCACAAAAATGCCACGAGCTTGGCCAAAACTCCACGTAGCTGCGAACCAGATCACTGTAAGGGTAGCAGAACTGCATGGGAAATCCTGTGTTGGAGGTGATGGGAAGTTTCTCTCTGTCCTGTAGGATACTAGAGATTTTAAGGCTTGCCTTACAGGACTGACACAAGCATCATCACAGATGGAAGGAAACAAAACCAAATGCCTGACACTGGTGGGGGGAAAGATGTTGCAACAGCAACGGTCAAAAAAAGCAAGCCCTGATGGTGCAGGCTGCAATACAGTCCACCAGTGTAGCCTTTAAAATGGGCGTCACTTTAACAGACATGTTTTTCCCCTTTGATTACTCACTTCCTCTAAAAGCAAGAGGAGCCAAATGCTCATTACAAGCCAAGAACTTTTTTTTTTGTATTATATAATGGCAGTGTATAGCTGCTAGTCGCACACTTTAAATCATTAGTGGCGTGACCATCTCTTTCCTTCCTGACGATTGCTGAGAAATGGCAGGGCAGACAACAAACCGCTTTTTATTTACCTCTCATAAATCACTGGCAGTCAGGCCTCCTTTGTTCAAATCAAAAAGAAAATAAACCGGTCAGTAAAACGTTACCACCAGGCTGAGTAATACCCATACAGGTTCAGGAATCCTGCACTCCAGCCCGCTGGGGCTCAAAGCATCCCCATCTGTTTCCTTTCAAAATATTTAATCGGAGACAAAAGTGACAGTGGGGGAAGGGAACAGGAGATCAAGCAAGGCTGGAGAAAACCACTTCTGCCCCACACCGACAGCGAGCTCTGTACTAACACACTTAAGCCAAGAGAAGGACGACTGCTGAGGAGAGAGTGGCCAAAGGCTTTAATCTGAAGATTTTGTAAGTCAAAACATTTCCTTTCTCCCATAGGAGCTGCCAGTCTGAAGTGCTCCCCGTCCCCCTCCCCTCTGCTGGCCAGGCTCTCCTGTGTCAAAATTCCCACTGAAGCAGTAGTCAGCTAGATAAACAGAGCAGTCCCCAGATGCATCCCCTTGGAGGCTGAAGTAATAGGTCATGGGAAACAAGCAGAGGCAACCATTTCCTTCTGATACTGTGGTCTCCACCAAGCAAAGCTCAAATCTGAAGTTTAACTACACAAACCAGGACTGAATCCCACTTGAAGAAAAATTCCGGTGGCCCATTATAAACCACATTTCTTCCTCAATAAATTAAAGGTCCTAGGCTCATGCTGGCTGCCCAGCTGGCTTGGAAGCCAGGTTAACTGCAATGAAATGTAAATTGAGAGTGTGCTGCTTGTTCAAAAACGCTCCCCTCCCTAGAATAAGCTACCACTTAAGAAAGGGTCAAAAAAAAATTAGTTAGGGTAGGAAAACCTTTCTACGAGATGCCCATGATCACAGCTCTTTGGGTCTCTCTTATATACAGAACTCTGTAGTTCTGAAGGACTTAATCCTGACACCCTGACGTCAGGGGAAGAAAGTATTGTCCATTGCCCCAAAGTATGGGAAGAATGGGTGACTTCTCCATACTTGCAACATGAGATCAAGCCAGGCAAACGTGATTCAGATCTCCTGATCAGCAGTGATGCAGGTTAAAGGCCAAACTACTTCTCTCTTCCCAGCCACTTTTTCCACAAATTAAGTGATTTCCATTGTGGAAGAAGGCAGAAGATACCCACAACAACACTCCCTCTCTCTGCCAGTCCCGACATTATGTTTTTCTCAGCTCAAGGATTTCCCACCCAAAATCCAATAATTTTTGTTGTCTGAAAAAAATCTAAGCTTCTCCTCAATGTCAGTCACGTAGGTTTTCACGGCTTTCTGACATGTGAAGAGGGCAAAACTATTTTGAGAGATTTAAACCAGGAAGCAAACAGGTCATCAGAGGATTTCCTAGGGATCAGGAGCCTGAAGACATCTGGCCACAAGTAGGTCACATACTTGTCTATTAAACCAAATAATTAGTCATGTCAAACTATATGTTGGGTGGTTTCCAAAGGGAACAAAAGACACGGCAGTAAACCAGACAGAAACGGAGATAATATAGGACACTGTTTCAAAGCCATTTTGCAGACTGGATTTGGCTGCCTTGTTTGAGGAAAATTTGTCTCGTTTTACACAGGGGAAGGGCAAGCAGGCAGCTTTCTGTCTACCAGAGCCTGCAGACACTCTTGTTACTCTGGAGAGAATGACAGGAGGTTATTTTTTTTCTAGCAAGGAGCAATTCCCACCCTCAGGCTGAAATCAATAGTGGTTAACTCTCTGCATTAGTACCTACCACAGGTTCTTCAAGGCCCCCCCCCCGAATAATCAGGCCTCGCCATCTGAATGTGAAGTGGGCAGCTTTTGGGGTGGACGCAGCCTGTGGTCCATGTCCCTGTGACTAGGTACTGCTGACAGCAGTTCAGAGGGCTGTGAATGGTGTGAGAGCAGCTGCTCCCAGGCCAAGACAAGGCATGCTGGAAACTCTCTGGCTTCTTCTGTCGGCACTCGAAAGTCACAGAAAGAGGTTAGCTCTTTCCTAAGAATTAATGGCAAAATCCATGCTGAAACAGGGGCTTCTGGTAAAGAGAAAAAAACTGGGAACTGGAAGGGGCAAATGCAGGTTATGAAGTACTTAACCGCCCCGTGCTTTCTGACAACATACAGCAGGGTTTAACGGGACGCTCTTTGGCTTTGGCACTGAAATGGACGGAGTGGTATTTACTGACACGTATTGAGCAAGCACTACCAATGTACTGCCAACAGAAAGAGAACAAAACTGTAGCTCTGCAAACTTGGACCAACATCTGACAACTAATCATGACTTGTAAAGAATGACTAACTACAAAGAGCCTGTGTCGTGGCTCAGTCCGAACACACACATGCTTTTTAAAAAAAGCTACAATACTCTTTGATACATTTTTATAGTGTATCAGTGGTCGGCTGTGCCCAGCACTCTGTGTGGCACTGGGAAATGGCTTTCCTATTGAAGTAACTTTTAAAGTTCCCAGAGAAAACATAGTACTCAGAGAGAAAGCTCCACTGCGTAGAGACACAGTTCTTTGACCAGTTTGAAATAAAGAAAATAAGGCTAGCCCAGCAACGTTGATAGCAGTTAGTAAATACTAGAAGGCACACTACAAAAGAAGTCGCTTACATAGGCTTTTCTGGATTACCCTATTCAGGCTTTCAAGGCTCATAAGTATAGTATCCTCTTTGTTATGGCACCACAAGGATCTTGTCCTTACTGTCACTTCACCCACCTGTGCTCCCACTCATCATGTTTGTTTCATTGTGCTCAGTTTTTAAAAGGAAGGCAAATCTAAATAAGACGGTCTCTTTAGGACATGCATTCAGCAGTGGAGTTCTGGGCTAGGAGTTAATATGAGTTCAGAATTTACTGAAAGCAACCCCAAAGCATATGGAAGAGAGTTTTTTAAAGCCACGCCACAGGGATGACACTCAGTGCTATGCGTGCTGCTATATCTACCTTGTCTGGCTGTATATTCGTTGTCTTCAATCAGCCTTGCCAATCCGAAGTCAGCAATCTTGCATATTAGGCCATTCCCCACCAGAATGTTTGCAGACCGCAGATCTCTGTGTATATAATTCATTCGTTCGATGTACGCCATTCCTGCAGCCACCTGCGAGAAGCATGAAACACAATTGGTGCATTTTAAAATGAACTCAGACAGACACGGTCCATAAAACATATACACCTAAATCCTCAATACTCTGAAGACAGACCTGGGCTGCCATGTCCACCAAATTCGGTAACTTCAAAGCTCTTCCTTCTCCATCTTTTAAGAAATCTAGCAAACTCCCTGCAAATGCAAAGTTGACACAATAGAGAGATGTTAGGGAAACAATGGCTATTCATCAGGATGGAGGTGCAGCAATGTGTGCAATATTGAAGACAGCAACATTTCAAGTTCAAGTGGACTGTTTCAAAAAACCCCACAATAACTTAGAATTTTCCTGTTTCTCTTTGCTTTAAGGTTGGCCTGCAGAAGAATATGTCACTAGTCAAAAGACAGTTGCAGGGAAAAGCAACAATATTGTTTTTAATTTTCCTACCACTACTGAGAAAGCTGATCTTTCTTAACTTTTCCAGTGCTCTTTGAAACTACATACCTGCTGATCTCTAAAGGCCTCAGCTAGCTAAAAAGCATCAGCTCAGTTCCAAGTCACACAAGCTACGGAAAAAGTCGGATCCCAGCTCAACCTGCTCCAAAAGAAAGGTCAGCCTGGAGCCTGGTAAGCCCAAAGGGCCTAGCACTAACAGAGACTGATTTTCCTTAGACTGGTAGTGCTCCTTCTCTAGGTAACCCATACCTACATGCAGCATGAACCATTAATTTTAGAAGACCACTATGCAAAACTAAAGAAGACAAAGCAGAGCTCAAACAAAAGCAATTTTAGCAAAAGCAATAAGGACATAGCTCTCTTGTGCAAGGGAAAGCTAGGAGGTTCCCTGTAGCTTTTAAAAACAGCCTCGGATGCTGTAGCTCCCTTCCCAATCTTGTGTTCAAACAGAGAGCTGTGACAGTCTCCTTTAAATAAGGTCAGTGAATTGGTTTAATAAATAAGGGGAAAAGACAGATGATTAGGCGTTTCTCCCTTGATAAATCGTCAGCCTCAAGCTCAGATCCAAAGATGTAAAATGTTACAGTAAAAACTAGTAAAGTAAGCCAAAATAAACCACGTACTTCAGAAGGATTTTGAGAAGTCTTTTTTTTTTTTTTAAAGGGGAAAAAGCACACGCTTGTCACTGAGACATATGATTAAAGTGTGAGTTAGTCAGGGCTTGGATGCCTCTGAGCAGGGAGGTGGGCAGGCACCTGCCAGGAAAATAAAAATCAACTCCAAACAGACTGAAAAAATGCACTTAAAATTTCAGAGTGTATCCTCCGATGTACAATGAAATTTCCCTGTGAGAACTTATGTTTCCTATTTGATTCAGTTGCTTTTCCAAAACAAGCAGATTTTTTGCTCTGCTCTCAGCACCCCTGCTGGAGATCTGATGGAGTGAAAAGTTTCCCTTTCCTCATTTTACTATATTGTTACCGGTTAAGTAGCTTAAAGAAAAAGAGAAAGGAGAAGGGGAAAGGGAAGGGGAAAGAGGAGGAAAGAATCATGTGTGCCAATCATGTATTAAAATGATAAATGCGGTAAACTGAAAATTAAGCTGGGAGCTGGGAGCGAGGTGCATGCAGCAGAACTCAGGATTGCTAAAAGAAGAAACAGAAATTATAGGGCAGCAAGTAAACACTGAAAGAAGATACCGTATGAACTCTCTGGCACTGGGAAAAGCTAGGATCTTGGGAAGCAGCATGTAATATCATTCAATCCTAGAAAATGCATATCTCCACTTGACAGGGAAGTTTAGATGCTGATGCAGTTGGAAGCACTTAGGCTGCACCAACTTCTCCCTTCCCCACCTAATGCAAGTTTTCCTTGTAAATCTAAGGCATGTCAGTTTCTGGGCCCAGTTCAGAGTTGAATTCATAATTCTTCTGAAGCCAGAGGTGAATTTAGCTTCCTGTTCCCTCTCTCCTGCTTCGCACGCTGTTCATGCATCACACTGCACCTCCCTACATATCCCCAAGGAGCATTAACAAAGGGAAAAACATTGTTATCAAGGGCAGCAGCTCTGGCTTCACCTTTGCTCATGTACTCTGTGACAATATAGATAGGTTCTTCAGATACCACCGCATAAAGTTGGACCAGTTTGTCATGTTTTAGCTTCTTCATGATTTGGGCTTCCTCTAAGAAGGATTCTGGAGACATAGTGCCAGGCTTCAGGGTCTTGATAGCCACTTTAGTATTTCCGTTCCACGTACCTACAAGCACAGATACTTAGTTAGATTAAACATCTCCTGCTCCTTTTTCTGCCCGATGCCTAATGTAACCAAGGAATAAACTAGCAAGGACACTTAACATAGTTATTTTTTTAAAAATGTGGTTTCCCATGCTGCCTTATCATTATATTCCTCCCACGCCTCCCTCATATTTTAGTCTTTTTCTATTATACAGAAAAATAATACTCCCATTGGCACTGGGGCACAATTGCCGTTGTCCTACTCAGACAATGCTTCCACTGATGTCCACAGAAACCTTCTCTGAGTAAGAAACTTGGGACTGCTGAAACCCATCTTATGTATTCCCTTGCTACAAGTAATTGCTACAGAAAACAACACAGCTCCAGTCACAGATTTGGATAACAAAACTGGTTAAACCCAGAACTTTCCATTTGCAAAACATTTTAACATTTTGGTTTTGCTCTGACTCAGAGGAAAAAAAATATTCTAAGAAAAATTCCCAAGAAATAAATTCTGAATCCATTTAATTTTAGAAATGCAGGTGTGTTTCCAAACTGAAATGCCTCTTTTTCCTTCCCTTCCTCATCCCCAGAAGCCCAGCAGCTGCTGATTGAAACCGAGGTGGTTCCCATCCACTTCACTTTGTTCTTTACTTGTGGTCAGCACTGAAATGGACAAGTTGTATCATTTCTCAGCCATCATCTACCAAGCCTTCCGTAACACCTGAAAGCTTGCACAAGGACCTGGAAAGATCTGGGGAAGGCTGACTCAGGGCATCCCACAGGAGGTGGGGCTTCACTTGGGTATTTGCAAGGGGGAGAAAGAGGACTGGAAAAAAACGACAAACCAAACAAACCACTTATGTATGTTAACAGGTTTTTTGGGGAGATGAGGCACTGGGGAAGGGAAAGGATGGAAAATTAAAATGGGCAGAAATATCACTTTCCTAGTGCCTTCTGGTTGTCCCTTGCCCAGACTTGCCAGAACCCTGCTCCAGAGCCAGGGCTGAAAAGACTTTGAATGGGACCTGTGATCTGTTGATAGGGAGCTGCTGTGTGATCAGGCAGAACAATACCAAATGACTTCAGGAATTAACCACATTGGGTAAAAATTACTCCTCTGCACTTAAACATGAGGATAGCCGAAGGTTCACAAAGTGTGTGAAGACTCAGACTCAGATCTAGTTTCTCTAAATTCAGAAGTCATCAAAAAAGGTAAAGTGTAAAAGAAGCCTGGTTTGTCTTTGTTAAAAGCACATTAACAGTTACCAGGGCTCAGGTGCTGCACAGCAACTGGTTAAGCCGAAATAACTTCATCATGAGCTTTTGCAACCTGCCAGAGCACAAAATCAGCTGGATTTTGTGCAAGTGGTCAGGTCCCAGCTGCCACCTTGCCTGGCCTAGGACAGGGGAGGAGTGGGAGGTGATGTGTGGTTCCGCCATTGCAGGGCAATCCCCACAGCAACACATGACGCTGTCTGAGAGGAGCTTGAGGCATGTATTAGCCAAAAGTGTGCAGTGCAAGTTTGGTTTTCACTACGCCTTGATTTTCTTCTGCCAGCTCGGTGCCCAGTGCTGTCACCTCTACTGGTGTGGAGTAATGTCTCGAGTTACTACCACCCCTACCCCAGCGTGCTTGAGGAGGTACTCTTGAGGTCTTAGTTTCACTCAGTCCTGCAAATCAGAGCCGAAGCAGGACTTTGCTTTAGTGGCACTCCCACGTAAGCTGGGAAGGATGCGGTTTCACCTTCTAATTTCCAGCAGGGTGGCCAAAATATTTTCTGATGGGTAAAAGGAAGCGTGTTTTGTCTGGTGCCACCGAGGCTCTGGACCACAGAGTGCTGTCAGTCACAGCCACTTTGCAGAGGTACCGCAGATTATGTGAACCAGGAATGAAACCCTGGTCTTATGGCACCAGGGTTTCTGTCACTGGCATTAATAAACTAGGATTTTACCTGGCATGTTAACAGGATTAACTGTGTATTATCTGTTTGCATTGCCTTAATAAAAATCCCAGGACTCGTTCTATTACCATGAAGTCATTTCAGCAGTTCTATTTTTAAATGCTTCTATGAATTTCTCCAGTTAAAAAATGAAAATCAAACAAAAAGGTTAACTTATCCTCTCAGCCCAGTTTTCAGTTTAAATTGTTAAATCTCCTTGTTGTGCTTTGATATTTTCCTCTCTAATAGAAAATTAGCAGACGTCCCTCTGAATTCCTCCCATACGTAGTTAATTACTACTTAATGCATTTTTTATTAATTTTTACTGCGATAATCTATTCTGATTTGCTAATGCTTTAGGGCTGTTAACATATTTTTACTATGCAGTACTTTAAGAAACATAAGCATTTCTGACAGATATTTGGTACTGATACTTGGCACTGTATTTCTCATAGATGATTGGGTTTTTTTAAACTGCATTTGCTACTTTAGCTTGTAGCAGTTTAAGATCTATAGCACACAAAGCTGACCACTAAATATTAAAATCAACTTGAAACTCTTGCATGCATTCATGTCGTGGTTTAGGCCGGACTGGCCACTGAGGCGAAATGAGAGATGCTCCACTGACAGAGCTAGCCAGGCAGATGGAGAACAAGAAGGTGAAACTGCAGTTATGTGTGGATGCTAATATAAAGCACAGGCAGTTTTCTTTGCAGCAGGTCAACTGTAATTCTGTGAAATTATATAAATTTCTATATATCTATTCCACAAATTCTATAAATTTCACAGACTTGCTGTCATGCTCCTTGCTGTAGTCTTGCAACGCAAAACAGCTGCAAGAACCCCGGAGAGCCTGCTGGTTATTTTGGTTGTACATACTTTTGTGTCACTGCATCAAAAAGAGCAGCCAAACTGCTCCACCAAATGATTCTGATGTAAAGAAACAACATATAGTGATTCTTTATTTGAATCAGTAATTTTAAAGAGGCTACAGAGAATGCAATTTGGCACAAAAATTGAGCCCACCACTCATTAAATGGCCACTATATTGTGTTTCAACGTTATGGCTATACTAAGATTTATGTATATTTTAAATTGCTATTGTTTTATAGTCATTAAAAGAATGAGTCCCATAGAGAGAGGACCAGTAAGTAAAGCTGGCAAGTGTGCAGAAAACAATGCCAGTGGATTTGGAAAATGCCAGTATTTCTGGACTTCAAAGTGGGGGTTCAGCTGGGCTGGGCAAGTCTTGCCTCTGTTGTCCCTGGTCTCTATATTGAGTTACAGGGTTCTGCTGGAGATACAAATTTCAAAACAGCTTTGAAGAAGTGGATGCGTGGGAAAGCTAGCTTGACAATATCAGCTTGCTGATTCTTGCCATTATTTTTAAACTGGGAGAGCGGATGAAAGCATTTTCAGGATCGGACCCCATCCATGCTAAAACACACAAGGAAAAAAAAAAGTCTACTTACCAGATTAATTTCTGGTTAGCCATTCTGCCTTACAAGTTTCCTTACATCATTCCTATTTCAATACCTGGCAATTGTGTAGTCACCCAAATAAACCCAATGCAATTAATGAGGTTCAATGCCCTAACCTCTCATACCAGCGCGTGCAAATGAAAGGAACTTTCCCCCTGGATCACTGTATCTAGATCTGACTGTTTTAGGTGATATAGACTAACATATCATATTATTCTGATCTTTAAGCTTTAAGATCTCTACTTGAAATGTTTATTTCTGCCAAGAGGGCCTTAAAAGATCCGTCCAAAGCAAAATATATTCTCTGCCTTACCACGCCACACTTCAGCGAAACACCCCTGACCAAGCTTCTGTTCCAGAAATAATGAATCACGTGCAACTTCCCATGCATCTTTAGCCAATCCAACAGTTTGTGGGGTATTATTCGTAGCAATCACAGTTAAGTTAAAACACAAACCATCAGCTTTCTCTATAGGAGAGGAAATTAATAAAAAAAACACACTTATAATCCAAAATTATGCATGCATTGAGAAAGATGGAAGGTGACCTGTCTTTCAGTGCTGCATTAAAGTTCATTTGCAAACACTGATTTTTGGATACTGAAGGTAAGGAGGTTTTTGTTAGCTTGCAGAAAAAGGCTCCTTGGTATAATTAATAGACTACTATGTGAGCCTTGATTTATTATTAAGACAGTGGTAATTCATCAAAATTGAAACCTTCCAAGGAAACATGGAATTTCAGTTTCTTTTGCCATCAATTACAGTGAAAGTTGAAGATTAAAGAATTTCAAAGTCAAAGACATGTTTCCAAAGGTATTTTTCTGAACAGTTTGAGTTTTGCTCATTTTTTTTTCTTGTGGATCAGTGTCCTGCATTTTCACCTTCCATCTTGTAATCCCCACACAGAGAGCTATTTTAGAATAATTATTTTGCTCCATACCCATCCATACTTCCCCAAACTGCCCATTTCCCAGTCTCTTGATCAACTGTAGGGATTCTCGTGGAATTTCCCAGACATCTTTGGTTTTGACAGACAGATCAGTAAGCCTTGGCATTCCTTTATGACAGGGGACTACTAAGCGGCAGCAAAGACCTGCAGCTCTCTCTGATGGAGCCAGAAGTGAAGCCAACAGCAAAGGAGAGGAAAGAAAAAAAAGTGTGACATGAAACAAAAACAGTAAGCATAAAAACAATGCTACTCACAACAGCTGTTAGTTGCATACCACAAAGCATCCTGGAAGATTAGAAATTGAACATTGAAACATATTCATTTGAGACAGAACAGGAAATATTTTAGTCTCTGCTTCCACAGCCTGAAATGGAAGGTGACAGCCAATGGTTTCTCTTGTGGACTTAGGATTTGCCTTCTCCCACAACGCTGCATTAAGGTAACTCCACAAGTAACTGGTGCAATACAGTGCAGTATAACTTCAAAAAAATAATCTCTAAGTCACAAACTGCATTGTTTCTGAACTGAGTGAAAAAAAACACAGAGAAGATTCACGCTGAAAATCACAGCAATGAAAATTCGGTGGACTTTTTTGCAAATTTTTTTCTAGGTATCCTGGAAAAAGGTATTTTCTATACTCTACTCTGTGAAACAGGTGTTTTCCTACGTGTGCTGTAAAAGGCTTTTTCTGCCATTCTTCATAGAGCAAATCTTTATTAATAGATGCAGCCAGTCCTACACTGATTGGGGCAGATTCATTATACTTGTGTCCTGCAAAGCTTCACAGAAGACTGAACTGTGACAAAAGTCACAAGATAATTTACATTAATATATATCATATATATAAAAACAACGATATATAAAAAAATATATACACACACATATTGTTGTGTAGTATGCTATGCTGCACAAAGCAGAGTAGATTATAAAGGTTGCATGGCCACTTGTATTTTAAAACAGCTGCAGCAGAGCAGAACGAGGTGGGGAACTGTAATTGTAATTCAGACTCAAGCATAATCTTTATTCTCCTGTGCAAGATTTCTTTCTGGACAAGCGAACAGTTTGTGTCAGCATCACAAGGTGGGCAAGCACCGAAAGTCCTTGCAACACCAAGCTCCACCTCCTCAGAACAAATGTTGTGGGATGGTGGGGAAGCCCCTAGAGGCACCCTGACACGGACATTGTTGTGTCTCCTGTAGCAACACAACAAAGACCACAAAACAGGGAAGATGAGCCGACCAGTTGGCATGTCTTATTCCAAGATAATTCCAATGGGAACATTAGGAGAGGGACTACTCAAAATATGGATAGTATCTGGAAAGCTTCCTTATGAGTTTGGACAGCTGCAGAAAGAAAATGGAGGTTTTTAAGATCTCCTTGTTTTCTTCAGTTGTAAAAAAAAAAAAAAAAAAGCTTAGCATGTGGTGCCCCAGTTGAGCCTAGACTGCACACACAAGAGCTTATGCTTGACAGGCCGGCTGCTAGGGATTGGGTGAATGATGCTTTGGCTTCAGACGTGCCATTACTGGACTTTCGTCTGACATCCGGACACCCTGGGGATCTCAATATTTTTCATTTGTAAATCTCATCTGTGAAAGTCCAGGCACTGCAGTTAATCTTATTACCTAGGTAAGAAGGGGTTGGGGAAAGAGGGAAGTCGGGGCTGTAAGGGTACTCGGCAGCGCAATGGGAGCACAGTGCAGGGATACCCATGCTGTGTCTGCACAAAGGCACACTTTGTGCTTCCAACTCCTGACCCAGGACTGCTTACGTGAGACCAAACTGCACACTGTCTACCTGGGTAACCTGGTTTCCGTCTGCCCGCACAAGAGCGGTCCTCCAGCCTGGATAGCTATGGGATGAAGGCTGAAGGGTGGGCTGCAGAGCGTACCAGTCCTGCTGTGAAGGCAGTGGTCCTTCAGGAAACGTGCTGATCTTTAAGGAGTCCTTTGGGCATCTTTGAGCTCTTCTTAGAAGTAAATCTAGGCACTCACACGGCATGGTGCTAATCTACCTCCTACAATCCAGCCTGCAGAGGAGGTGGTTAGAGGCAGCCTTTATGTTTCGAGACAGCTGGGGCTGGCATGGAACAAGGGCTCCTGTGCTCATCTGGGTCTGGGAGACCACAGGTGAAACTTCTGGAGCCTGTACCCTGCCCTCCTGAGCTACCCTACCTGTGTCCTACCGATTATGCCTCTGTGTTGCACAGAAATGGCTGTTTCCAGATCTATTTGTTTCTGCATCTGTGCATGGAAAATACACCACCCAAATAATTTGACCATAGAAAACTAAAAGTTGGCATATACCAGCTGGTATAGCGGGGTTGAAAATGATCTTTCTTAGATGTGAGTTTTTATACATTATTTTGCTTAGTTTAATGTGGAGTCACCAGAAAAAACTAGAAATTCTCCCAGGCAGCATAGACCCACCAGAAACTGGGCGGAGAAGAGAGCCAGATGTCTAGTATGAATAGCATAAGAATACAGCAGACAGAATACAAAGAATACAGAAAAAACACCCCACAGAGAAGTTGATTTCCCAAGTAAAAATTATGAAAAGGTTTTGAGCAGCGAGCATTTGGGGTCATCTGTTAATATTACAAAAAGCTAAAGTACAGAAAAAAAAAAAATTCAAAATACAAATTTCTGCTTGGAAAATGACAATGTTGAGAAGCGTAGCAGTCTTCTACATAAGAACCAGCTGTCCTACGGAGAGGTTGGGGGGGCTTTAAAGTTGTATCTGTTGTACACCAATCGCCAGTGACAGCACGATGCGCTTTGAAGCTGAATAGTGCATGCCACATTTTAATTGCAGGAATTTAAAAAGAAAAAAAGAGCTTGGAGGGTAGACACAAGCAGTATGCATAAAGAAAAACCCACCTTGCCATATTTATTTTTAAAATTAGACTGATTATAATTTAAATATTAATACTTTGCTCATTGAACACAAATCTCATGGGAAAATTTGAGTCAGGTAATATACGCAAACCTTTTGGTCCTTGCTTTAGGTGACTGAGTTCCACGGTGCAATTGCCTATTTGCTTTATTAGCAGTACTGTGCTGCAAAACGGTACATATTTAGCACTCGCTTATGCACAGGGAATTCACGCTTTGAGATGTGCAAGTCAAATCTGGTAATTCTGTTTGCTCAGAGGAGGGAGAGCAGGCAAAAGCTTTACCTCAGTAGAATGCTAGCTTTTAAAAGCTCTGCTGCTGTACACTGTGAACAGCACTCAGAGCCATTTATAACTGTAATGGGAAAGGGATAATGGAAGATGCATTACAACAAGCGAGAGACATAGCTCAAATGACTCTTTAGGGCGTCTTACACATACATCAGCTCAGCAGCAAACACTTTTGTTTTAAAATACTTCAGAGTGTCATGTATTATCTGAAAAATTACCTGAATAATGCTGAACCAGCTGCTGAAGAGTTTCAAATTGTGCCCGAGTTGTGATATAATATCCACCATTGTCAAGTTTACGAATCTTATAATGTTTGACATGATCTCCTTTCATATCATCCCAGTCTCGAATAGACAGGGAATAGGCACCTGTTTCAAGCAAAGGAGAAACAAAAAAAATATGTAAGCAGCTTTTAGACCCAAAGATTTTGGTTTGCTGCTCAGTTGTTACGAAGTGATAGAGAAATTGCTTCCAAAATATGTTTATTGCACCTTCAAAAAGAACAAGTGAATCTAACACAATGAAGTAAGTATCACAGAAACCTTATGATGTTCACACCATGTCCCTTTCACACTCTTCTGTGAAGAAATCTGGACTTTTATGTAAATGAAAACTCGCATTTTAACATTTACTGCTTCAGCTTGTTAAATTGACTTTTCCTATTTTAGGTATCAGGTTAAACTGCAAATACTATACTTCAGATAAATGCCAGAGGGTGGTAAATATCAAGATTTTCATAGGAAGCACTGGAAATAATGACTTTATATATCTGTAGTGTTACCACCTAGATAGATCCCAAACTTCTTTATAAACATTGATCAACCAAATTAGCATACTTTGCACATCACAGTCGTTGGAAGGTGGTACTACACCAAGACTGTGCACCAGCAGGTCTGCAAGAACTGCATGTTTCACTTGCCAAATCCATTCTGGAGCTACAGAGCTTACTGGTGGGATTCAGATGCTCAAACACAGGGGTTAAGTGACAAGTGAGATGCCCCAGGACATCCTGCTTGGCTGTTATCCCACAAGCTGTCACCTTTGCCTGATCCATGTGGATGCCCTGCAGGCGTTTCAAATGGCTCTGGATGCTCATGGCCAGGTAAAGGAACCCAGTTGAGGGGCTAGATTTAGTTTGAGGTGTAGTGGTGACTGTCTGCAGGTGGGCTATGGGCTTGATTTAGATGTCCACACATAAGCTTTCTGGTGCTATTACGGCAGCTGAATCCCAGCCTAGTTTCCATGAGAGTTGTGGCACTGTAGATATCGGTGGCAAAACACAGGTTTGAGCACTAGGTGTCTGTGGTCACAGACAGCTGAACTGAACCCCAGCTTTTGTGGGCAGCTGAACTGAATCCCAGCTTCCCACTGACTGCGAAGGGAGCTTGGCCACCTCCATGGGGACCTGCACATTCAGGTGTCTTAATTTGAAGCATAGCCCTATTCTACATTCAGTGACACCCACATGTTGGTTCTCTACAGGGTCAAAAGCAAAGCCACATTTTACAGCATAATGCAGTGTCTGAGCAAAAGCACGGCCATTTCAAAGGCAGTGGAGAAGACAAGTCTTCACTCATGGCTCAGATGAATATTGTGTTTACTCAAAGGTAATTCAGACATTAAAAGGAAAAAAAACCTGGAGGTAATTGGCAGCTGCAGAGCTCTCAGGAAGGTCCTCCTCCTGGAGCCTCGGCTGCTTTCACTGGTAACTGTGTCAGCTAAGGGCAGGAAAGGAAAACCACCAGCAGACAATTCTGGACAACATGAAAGGTGGAGTGATTTCCTACAGGTCTAATAGCAAACAGCACCGACTGCTGCTTATCCCAAGTCAGGGTACTTTTCAACACACCTGGCAGATTCACATTCTCCAGAACCTCCTCCAGCTAAGTGAAATGGTTTAAAGAACCCCCCACAGTGGGGTGGTTGAGATGCCTGGTGTAGGATAGCTTTCCTGGATGTCTCCCCGGGAAGAAGTTTCCCCGACCACGTTAACGTGTGACAGGTCACACTGGCGGGTAGCTCATGGCCGAGGGAGCTGCAGTGAACCAAACATCTCCACCCTGACTCCAAGGACTTCTCAAATTCCCTGTTCTTTGTCCTCTAAATAGGAGGAAAAGAGCCAGCACTTACACAGATGATTCTGGTTTACGCGAATGGGAGACACCCTGAGAGGAGTGACAGGGTTTTTATTTCTGAGTGTAGAAAAATACTGTTTGTTTAGGGTATTTTTCTGAGGAGGTTCTCCCACTGAGTAAGTACATCTCAGCTAGGAGTTCAAAGCTTTCTGGGGATTTGGAAGCACATCTTGTGCATGCTTTGTACCACCACTCTGGGTTGTACGCTCTTAGCCAGCCTACTTTCCAAATTTTCCAGGCAGTGTTCTCCACCTCCGCATTTGTGAGTTCTGATCCACTGGCAGCAGCTGTATTTTCTTTAGTCACGCTCCCTGCCTATCTGGTCACTATTTTAGATTCTTTAGGAAAATGTAAACAATCTGTGGCTCTGGGTCTGCAATCAGAGCTGTGTGGGTGGCCCTCTGTGGACCCCCGCTGACCTCAGATGAAGTTGCAGGACTGGAGCTTTAGTTCAAATCTGGACAAAAACAAGATCCAAGATGGATTTCATTATTCATTTATTTAGGCTGTTGGTTATTTATACTATTCATTACTATCTGATGATAAATTCAAATGTAAGAGATATACATAATAAAAATTTGGATAGAAATATGGCATTACAATATATCATACTAATGAATTTAAAAAAACACCACCAAACCTAAAACCAGACAGCCTTGGAGGGTGGAGATTGAAACCAGGTGAAGGATTATACAGACAAGAGCTGATGAAGTACCCGGGTAGCCAGGCATTGAAAAAATGAAAAGCGGGCTCCATATGATTTATTTTGGAAGTAAGAAGAGAAGACAACCATGATCAGGGGAGGTTAAATTCGTGCTGAAGTCATTCATGATGCTACTTTTAACATGATCCCGATTAATTTTATTTTTCTTATTATTTAAAGCAGAAGGGACGATTCTAGGTCACAAAACAATTCCTGCCTCAAGCCCAAGATGAGTAGCTGGAGTAAGGCATTTTGAGAAGACTTATAGGAGAATGCACCATTCGAGCCCTCCCAGATGACTTTTTCCTCTCTCATGAACAACAAGCTCCCTCTGTTTTCTTCTAACAGCATACTGAAACACCACAAGGATGAGAAGGGAAACAGGCATTTTTGACAAAAACCATGCATGTTTGGTTTTTTCCAATGGCTTTGATGCAAACTTCGCCTGAAGATGTAGAAAGCCTTAAGTTCAAATGAAGAGAAATTAAGCTTGCTGCTATAAGTCCATCCATGATGGATTACTCCATTTCCCCAATGCTTTTGTGCCTCACAAGAAGCTCCAGAAAAAAGCCCTGACTTAGCTAAGTAAACAACCCTGCAAAACACATCCCCTATCACTGTATAAAAACTGGTCAAAACAAACTAAACTGGTAATGTGCTTTAGAGAAACAGTGTTGTGTTTGTTTTTAGGATCCATGGATGCCTATATGAGTGAGTTTTTAAACTTGGAATGGAATGAAGTCCTGCTCCTCACACACATCACAACTGTTGGTGAAAACGAACAGGTGGAGGCTATTTGCAGAAAAAGAGCAAGTTAGAGCCTGTCTTGCTCCCGGTGAGAACGCCTCACTGCTACATAAGGTATGGTGAAGCTGTGGGGCGACAAGATGGGATATTAGCTGTCTGAAACAGCAGCATGTCTATTCAGATTTTGCATCAGAGTGGTCGTCAGAGTTATGGGCAGTGAAGGAAGAATGCAGTGACTGCAGGAGTCAAAAATGTAAAACTTACAATTTTAAATGACAGAATGCAGCACCTGAAGATAAGTCAGGTAGAGAGGAGTGGGAAGCTTCTCTTCTCTAAGCCCTTTTACCAGCCATGCCTCTAACCAATTTGCATGCTAACTCTAGCTGACACAGTGTGCTCTGATCAAAGCACTGACAAGTCAGTGCTTTAATTACATAAACCATCATTAGACTCCAGAATTTACATGGAATTAATTCTAGTGACTTGTGCTTCCCACAGCTATTGTTTTGGATTGCTGGTTAATTGAAAAATGGTCAGGTTTGTTTTCACTTAGTTGCGGGTTTTCTCCTCAATAGTTGTATGAGTTAGAAAGGTCTTTTCATACATGTGAAGCTTTGAAGGAGATTTTGACAGGTCTCATGAACAAAATGTAAAAGCAAAGATAGCAC